CAATCATGTTTGCGACTCACACTTCATCATCAAACTTTGAAATGATGTACTCTGCAGTCATGAAAACCTGTGAATAGCAATTGGAAACCGAAATATTTGCTGAAAATGGATTTGAAGACTTGAAATTCTTTTAGTTGTCAGTCATTCAGACACAAGAAGCCATACGACTCATTTGGGAAACAAGATTGTGATTTCTTCAAATGAACTTCATGCACTGAGTGCTCTTTTTATTAAGGAATGGAACATGAGACCTTCTCATCCATCATACCCACTAGGACTGGTAGTTAAATGCTACAATTCATACACCAAACAAGGTAAATTCTTGATCAAGCTTGCCAAGACCTATTCCTGTAACTTAAAAACGTTCCCTTGGTTCCCTTTAGAAATTTAAACAACACTCAGTACATTTGAATATATTTGCTGCTGCCTATTGACCTTACATTTCCCTTACCAAGATAATAGCATTTCCTTAGAAGTTGCCTTGGGCATTTCTGCAAGGTCAAAACCACACAGTGCACAGACAGGGAGAAAACTACTTTGAATTACTGCATCCATTCATGCTCCAGTGGCTCTGCAGCCCTGATGGCATCAAATGAAGTCTAGTAGGTTGGGAGTACAGCACTTAACTTAGAAAACACAAAAAGAGGTAAGGGCAGAAAGAGCCCTGACATGCTGTTAAACATTTACCATCCTGCCTGAGCTGCTACACTGGTAATACATAACAAACAGGAGTCACAGAGGTATGGGGAAGTTGATAGAACCACATTGCCAAGGGATGCCCCAGTCATTGCACAATGTTGGCTTTTTGACAGAATGAACAGCACATTCAAGGGAAAAGTCTCTCCCTTTGCCAGTAGGTTCCGAAGAACTAAAACTAATTGGTTTTCATTTGAAATCCTTTAGTTATGGAGGGGTTTTTAAAGCTTCATCTGGTCTCAAAATAAGTTATGCTTGATGAGGACTCTCATTAATATTGCAGAGCTTTTGGAAAGAGGTACCTGAAAACCACCGGCAGCCAAAACTGTTTTGAATAATTTCTGTCACATAAGTGCCATGAAGAGTCAGTTACTAGACCTTTTCTTTGTTGAAATTATAGCCTTATTCAGTTTATAGTATTAAATAAAAGGGCATATTCACTGTAGAAGGGCAGCTAACCTCAGGGCAGATTACAGCTCAACCTCTGTCTCTGGGCAGCCAAGTTGAAAATCAGCAGTTAACATGGAAACGTATTGTACAGCTGGGATACTGCTGTGAATTATGAAGCATAGCAAGTGTTTTGATAAATCAAAGGAATCTAAATGGGCCTCAAAAAGCAAAAAGTAAAAGTATTAGGCTTTCTTATCTTTTCCAAAATCTTCCATTCGTACCCTCAGAGAGACCTGTTTTCTACCTCTTGGACTCTGACTCAAAATTCCATTTAAGAAATTGAAGAACATGATCCTGCCATCTCTTCAAAGATTTAACTTTATGGTAGAAAGATTTTAGTGGTGTTATTTGCCATTAAAGGTAATAATTCTGGTGTAGTTTTCTTTTCTAGCATTTGTGTTATTTTATTAATGTCTCCACAGTAGCAGTTAGCACTGTAAAAGGAATTCCAATTTTTAACACGATTATTAGTCTTGATTTTCATTCTCAAAGCAAGGATGTTTTCGAGGGAGTACAGAGAGAAGCAAGGAACACAACTCAAGACAGTGCAGTCAATTGTTACCTCTGAGCACATACACTTAGATTGCTTTCCTTTGATGCTGCTGCCAATTTTATTCACAAGTGTATAAAAAAAGGTCATGACATTTAGAATTACAGAGCTCTGGAAATTAAGTGTTCCTTTAAATTTTTAATTTCTGAAAGCAATTTATCATGGAATAATATTTAAATATGATTGAATCAGTGGGTTAAGATTACTGCAAACTGTCTTCAAATTGGAAGTTCACAACCACATACGTTTAACCTTGTTGTATAATAGGCATAAAAACGTTGATGTGTTAGCTCTAAGAGCTGCATTTCCATTTTGCTGGAAGCATTTGCACTGTTATTTTCCTTAGTATTTTTCCACTGACATGTCTGTATGAGGCATGAGATTTAGCTCTCTATCATTTTCTACTTAACATTATGCTTCACAATCCTGACAACTAAATAAGGAGCAGAAACTGAGTCCCAATGGTCTACATAGTTCTTTCATACAATTTTTTATATGAGAAATCAAACTACTGGTTTTTAGGCTAATTCAGCAGTATTAAAACTATTGTACTATATGAGGGCAATAAAATAATTTTGTGTGAAGACTAGAGGAAAACACTAATGTACAAGGTAACCAAAATGCTAGTCAGAAGCTCTGGACTGGGAGGTCTGGAGATTTGATGAGGAGGAGACCACAGAAGTGCTGCCATGCCCAGATTGTGGGAGTCTGCTCAGTGATGGCCTTACACATCTCAGACAGACACTCATGGAGTCATTTAGGTTGGATCTTCAAGATCATTGAATCCTACCATGAACCCAACACTGTCATGCCACCTTAGGTACTAGTCAGAGCTTATTTCTCCAAAGCCAGGAGACACTACTTGGTGAGCAAACAAAGGAATCTTACAAAAGGTAGCACTATGGACATTTACTTGGTCAGTATTTAGAATTCATAGCTCACCCCTACACCTAAAGAGAGCTGGTTGCTTACCAGGCTGACACATGCAGTAACAAATCCCTGTACAGATGCTGTTAAAATTGCCTCTGCGTAAAATTTATGCTGCTATGTAGGATTCACTCATGTTTTCTCATAGGAACTCCAGGGAAAACTTCATTAGAAGACTGACAAACTCTGAAATATTCATCTGAGACTCCATTATACTCAGTGGGTCAACTGAAGAGATATAGGCTGGAGAAAGGAGACTGAGGAAGTTAAAGTCACACTCAGTGGGTCAACTGAAGAGATACAGGCTGAAGAAAGGAGACTGAGGAAGTTAAAGTCAGTCTTCAACCAGAATGTTACTGGCACAAAGATCAGAAAAAAATAAAGTTATAAAGCCCCTTTGCTATCGATTATTTTGATTCTCAATATCAAATCCTTTTGAGGACATTTTGTCACCTAATAATAATAACATCCTTGTTACCAGGGCAATGGCAGAAGCACTGCTAGTTCAAGTTTGGCCTCTTGAAAAAGCCTTCAGGAAAGTTGCTCTGAAGATCACCCAATTCATTCAATTAATGCTTTGTTGGCTGGAGTTAAAGTTTTGAGTCAAACAAAACAAAAGCCTGGGTTTCAGAATACATATACCCTGTCAAATTGCATTTATCAAGATAAGGGTTATTAGAATCTTTTTTCTCTTGTGTGAATGAAATTGTAAGCTTCAAATGTCACTGAAGATTTATTAATCTGATACTCTTTCTGATAAGGGCAAAGAAATAGAAAGGGCAAAGAAAAAGAAATATTTCTTGTAGCATGATAAGGGCTACAAGAAATAGAAAATATGAATAAGCCAATTTATCAGTGGCCATTCTGCAACCAAAAGATTCAAGCCACATAAAGTGATACTACAGTTATGTATCGATTTCAGAGCATTGTCATCTACAATACTTCGGCCAAGTTTGAGAGCTGTGCAGAAAAATCTCTGCCATTTTCAAAAAATGAAATAAACTTGAATTTTCAAAGTGTGGACTGGAGAAACAGTTGTTCTAGATAGTAGATGGAGGTCTTATGTGAAAACTAGTGCTGTGCTAGAGGATATGGTGTCTGGAGGGAGAACCATCAGCAGGATCAGTGTTTTCAGCTGAAGTGACAGGGCCTGAACTAACCACAAGAAATGTTAAGAGGTTTTTCTTGTTTCTGTGCCTGATACTGTCAGAATGTGCCCACAGTGGGGAGGAGAAAGAGTGAAGAGAAGCTCTTGAATATTTTGGGTCAAACAGCCCATTGTTAAAGCTTCATGTTTTTATACCCCATATGGTGCAAAAGACAAACACATTTCACATGACAGAGCAAACCCCCTGGAACTCACTGCTTTGCCTTTGTGGGGCAGGAGCCCAGCAGCTCTTAGTGAATTAACCATGTCAACACTCCTAAGAGAGGGGAGAGACAACACAGGACTTAAAAACAGGCTCAAAACCAGGCTAATACTCACTTTGCAATAGATCCTCTCACCAGAACATCTGCACTCGTGCCAAAAAAACCAAAATCACAGCCACAGGTAACAACTCTTTTTTCCTTCTCAAGGGCTTTCCTCATAGCAGGGAGGAAACTCTTGGACAGAACCTGGCCATGGCACTTCCCCTCCTGCTGCTCAACTTCTGCTTTCAGTCAGTCCCTTCTGCAAGAACTAATTCCCTTTGGATGAGGTCACTCTGAGACAGCTTGTGCTTGCTTCCTTGGAAAAGCCCTGGGGGAGGGAATTAGCTCCCCAGGCTCTCAGACCTACACAGAGAACTCCCCAGAGAGCTGGCAGGGAAAATGGCCATTTGTGCTGAGACTCCAACCTTCAGTTTTATACAGCATCACGTGCAATGACTTTGTTATTGAAACAATTTCACGTATAAACACAGATCTATATATCTATTTGGTATATATTTGACTTGATAATGATAACATTAATAACAGTAAAGATTAAAATGGTAGTTCAGATCCCATGTAATACATGTGTGTGACTTTAAATATCTTTTTGGTTAACACACAGGCTACTGATTCTTTTTAACTCACAAAGTAATGAACCATCAAGTAGTACTTTTTCCTTTTCTATCTTCCTGATTCTTCAATATTGTAATTCAAAATACTTTCACTCAAAAATGAGATTCATTAGCCAGAACTCATATGAGACACTATCAAGTGGGTGTTAGTTTTGCAGCAGCTAATATGTTTGAATGCACTGCCTGCTTAGAAAATGATTAATTGTGCCTTACCTTTGACTCAAAGTTTTATATAATAAACATACTAGTTAAGAAAAGTCTTTCTTACATTTTTCTGTGAACATAGCAGGAGCCAATTAATCTGCCATAATTTCATTAACAGCTCAACTTACCAGACTTCTCCATCTTGTGTTTTGAACTCTCAGGTCCTGGAAGGCAGGGGCAGGGCCCTTCACATCGAGCTGTGATGGTTTTGCCAGAAGTACATGCATGAAACTCCAACTTGCACTAGAATCAGGAAAAAAAAAAAAAAAGAATCCGTTTTGAATTAGAACAAGATATAAAAGCAGCAGCTGTGGCTTAAATGAGAAACTGCATTATCAGTAACAGCATTAGATAGATTGCAAAGCTCTACTGCAAATACCATTGTGTTTATTATTACAGATAACAACAATTAACAACAATAGCTACTTCCTAGGCAGAGTTTTGCACTGCACTTCTATATGTGCTTTGTGAGGGGTTGTTAGTAACCTCTGGAATCTGCAGCAGCTGATGAGTCCCAGGCAGGGCCAGGAGCAATGGCAACCAAGCCCTCCCTACACCTATAGAAGAAACCAGTAAGTGCCAGTAAGCAGGAGTGTCACAACCACTGAGAGCTCCTGCTCCAGGTGGGTCTCCCATCTCCCCCTGATGTTTCTCAGTTTGGGAAACTCCCTGGGCTCCAAGGCACAGCACTCCAATGCACATCATCTCCCCCTGACGTTTCTCAGTTTGGGAAACTCCCTGTGCTCCAAGGCACAGCACTCCAATGCACACCAAAGCTGCTCACCTCAACAACCTCTTCCTTTCCCTTCCCTACAGCCTCAGCAGATGGGATTTATGGCACCTCTTGACTTGGCAGTCACCACATTCAAGCCATTTAGGACATTAGGACATGTGCAGTATCAGGAGAATTAATATAGCCAAAGTGTGTTGTTAAAAAGCTATGATTTACAACATACTGACTAGTCAGAGCCTTGTTATTTGCATTACATGTGTTTTAGCTCTGACCTTCCTCCAAGAGCTTTGTGTCTGTGTAGTTGCCCTCTCTGCAGTGACTACCCCAAGGGTATCTCCCCTTTCCATGCCCAGAAGCACAGTGGCTGGAGATTGGACTAACATACTAATAGAATGAAGTAAAAGAAAACAGCACAGAGCAGCAGGAGTACAAATATGTGAGGCATTCTGTTTGGCCTGATACAAATGAACTGAATTCAGTGCCATTTTTCATCTTCAAGCACTGCTTTTACCAGACCAGAATCTGAGGGCTTTTAATACCAAGGGGAGTGTTGCCTGCAGCATCTAGGCTGGTGCTCCTCCCTCCAGGGACTGCCTCCTGTCAGGGAAAATGGGAATGCTGAGCTGTAAAACCACTTCCTAAGTCTGAATTTTATTACAGATTAATTCTGTAATTCATTTAAAAGCAGGCCAACATGACACGAAGTATTTTGACACAAGCAGCTCTTTGGAAGACTGAAGGACACAGAGCCTGAGACCATGGAGTGACCATGGAGGATGCAATGGGCAACTGGAGCTCATTGAGCAACAGCTACTGCTGAAAACCACAGCATCATCCTGTTATTTTGGTACAGTGGAAGCCAAGAGAACAGAGCAGGATGTTGTTACAAGATAAACACCTCCTGCTTTGAAAGTACTGCAAATATCTTGGCTTTGCCTCTGTTTGTTTTTGTTAAAAGGGCTCATCTTTGCCCAGGCTTTAATCTAGCAGCAGGAGACCATTATCCTGTGCCTACATCCCATTCTGTTGACATTCTCTCTCAGCCATTCTCAGCTTCAATGCACTGTGGTGATTCTGTGCTCTCTGTGATGTTCTGCCCTTCTGATTTAGAAAATACATGGCCACACACAAACGTGTGCAAGATTAGCTTGCATTTTACACTAATTTCTGCAAGACAGAAGGGAATATAAGGACTTATTTTTCATCTGTTTGCTCCATAAATACACTTCGAACAAAGTACAAATACAAGAGGAAGCACATCAGAAGGAAAGGAGAACAGGGGAAAGGAGAACAGGAAAAAGGAGAACTCTCTCTGAGAGCAGTCCTGAAGGCAATGACTTTTTGCAGTATATTCTGATAGCCAATGTGTTATTGAGATCACAGGCATAAATCTTCTTCCTGCAGCTGGAGTTGATCATTTAATCCCTTACAGAACATCAATTACTTACATATTTTATTATGCATAATAAATGTAAATTATGTATCTAAGCATTAGCAATTATACTTCAAATACCACCTTTAAGATAGTACAGCCTATTCCAAGTCCATTATTATGTGCAGTTAAGAAAGAGCTTTATACTTAGAAACAGCAAGGCAAGTTTCTCCTTAGCTTTCCATAGGATTGATAAAAATGAAAATCAAAAAGCTAGAAGTAAACAAAAAAAAAACCTGCTTAAAAAGGCTCTATTATTTGAGGGCAAAGAGGAGAGCTAAACTTGAAGATTGCAATGGTACAATCATAGGTGAGTAAGTTTACACCTATGATTAACCACATGACATTCCCACCATACTTGTTTGGGATGTTTGTGCACATACAGACTTGGGGTGGCAGCTTGGTGTTGGGGGATGAAGATTAAAGAGCTCCATAATTTTACAGATTAAATTAGGGAAATACTAGTTAACTTTCAACATCTAATCACTGTATTTAACAGGTTTTTCCTTCCCAAAAGAAAAACATGGAGAGAGCTCACTTTCCATGTGATGTAATAGCTTACTCCAGTAGCTTGGCTTTGGATTTAGTGATATTCAGAGGCAGAGTGGCCAGAGACAATGTCTTGTGCAGCAATCATGACATTTTTGGACTACTCTTCCATTGGATTTACAGTCTAGAAGGAGCCTGTTGGCTTTCTCCAGACCATGGACAACAAAATGATGATACACAGTACATGGGAAAAAAAACCCCAACATTAAATGAAGGAATGATCCAAACTATGAGTCTTTCACACCAAAGGGACAACATACACTTTGCAGATATGAGTCATGGACCTCCTGGCAGATTTCTACATGGGACTCACAGTTTGGGGCTGGTCCCTCTGATTTCAGGGGACTCATCTGGCTGATGGTATGACAGGATATCCCTCCTGCAGAGCTGTTCTGCTGGTAGAGCTCCCTGGGTGGTATGACAGGATATCCCTCCTACTGAGCTGTTCTGCTGGTAGAGCTCCCTGGGTCTTGCAAGCTTTGTATTTTTCTGCTGCCTCCCTGGTGTGTGAACTGCATTTGTTTACTCTGAACCCCAAGGCCCACATAAACATCTCTAAACTATTTTACTGCAAATGGGAAAGCAGCTCTGTTATTTGTTGCTAAATGTATATGGAGATCAATAAAATATATGAGGGGAGAAATGGTTGAACATATTCATGGAAAATTCATAAATTAATTTATTCAACTAAGATGTGGGAAATTACTGCAGAGTGTGTTTTGGTTAAAGTGTTCCCCTGAGAATCCACTACTTGTATAATGATTCCCTCTTTATTGTCAGTGAATCTACAGCAATGTGTTTTGCATAAGCATTCACATTTGAGGGAGAAAGAAAATAGCTACATAAAATTTATTCCCAGCTATTTTATTCTTGTCTGTTAGTCTCCAGCCTGCAGTCCCTGCTTGAGGAGAATCTAGATATTTTTTTAATGATGTAATAAACCAGCATATCTCTGCCTTTATACTGCCTTTCAACTTTTGGCAGCCAGGTTTGGATCTAACCTGCAAGTAAGTAATATTTTGAAATAAGTTACTGTGATCTTTTATGCAAGGATGTATATTTGACTAATGAACTTTTTTTGTGGACAGCCCAGGACATTAGTGTCTTGAAGAGCTTTGTATCCTGACACAAGGAACTCACAAATTTGCTTAAAAAGCAGCCAAGTATGGCAGCATCTCCTAGCCCTGACAGAACCTTTCATTGGCAATGCAGATCTACTTGAGAACTTGCTGCAGGTGCCTCAGATGGCCTAGGACACACTATGTGCCTAACATTGACCCACTAAGATCACCAAAGACCAACTCCTGATTGACTCATGATTCAAACTCATAACTGAAAATTTCTTGTGGTCACACTAATAGAGGAGAAAGTGTTAGGTTCCAAACTTTCATTGCTTCTATCATTAATCGAATGGGAGAGAAACAGGAGAATATGTAGGAATCAGCAGACAAAATACATAACAAATATAAACATGAGAAAGAGTGAAAATTGAAATAGGAGGTTAAATTTTATAGTCTACTAATTAAAATGTATGTTAAAGCTCTGAAATGTTCCATCATATTAACAGCAGTGGCTCTAAAGCTCTGTTGTTGAATGGTGCTGGAAGACACTGCATTTTTAGCACCCTACAGCTTTTCACATTTCGCTAAGAATGATTTCAACACAGTGTTTGTTTTATGGTGCATCTTTTGTGCACTCACAATATATCTCTTCGAAACTACACATACAAATAACAAAAGCTCATTATTTTCTACCTTATCTTTTACTCAGTACCTGCCACTTGGCAGAAGCTAAAAACTTCCTGAAATTACAGCATGTATATATTTTTAGTCCAGACTTTCTTGATATCACTAGTTTTTGTACCTATCTGTCTTAGCAGATAATTAGAATCCATTGGAATTCAGACACCACTTTGAAAGGGGTTGTTTGTTTACAAGTTTTAGAGCAGGGACTGCCATTGCTTCCTCAGCTAGGACTCTTATCACTATTTTCTTTATAAGCCTCTGCTTTCAGTTTTCATCAGATGGAAAAAAATACTCTATTTGGAACACACTCAGACCAAGAGTTTTTTTTAAAAACTTGTAACAAAAAATAATAATAAAAAAAGAAATACCATCTTTTCTCCAAATCCCAAATGAAATGTCATCTGGTGCAG